ATAGATCTAGCAGAAAAGATGGCTTGTAGATAATGCTGAGATCCTCGCCGCTTCTCCGGGGAGAATTTACCGGACCGTCGTCGGAAATTAGTCTGAAACCGCGTGAAGAAGAAAAAAAAGTTTGTAAAGAGAAGAGAAGCGAAGTTGCAGAGTTTTTGTGATTTCTCTCAGATTGGGAAGAAAAAAGCGACGCGGGGGGTCCGAGAGAGGGAGAGATGATTTTTATTAGCTAAATGACGGAAATACCCCCAAAAAGTGCGATTTTCTTTTAGGTAGATAATCCACATATTTTATTTTGATGACAATTTTCAACTTTTGTTTTGACTTTTTTTACTTGTAGCAGTTTTACATCACCATCAATCTTAGTCAAATTGCCATCTTAAGATAATCGGTTTCCCTCTTATTAAGTAGCTTAACAAATATGTTAGGTGGTATCAATTTGCTACTTCAAATTGATACGTTTTACTAATCATTTACTAAAAATCATATCTGTGATATATATGGTTGGAAGTACTTGAAATAATGAAATTGGCAAAATCTGATGAAAATTAGTGTTGATTTATGGCAAAATTTGATAACAGGCGGAATTTTTGTTAATTAACAAAAAAAGCTGAAAAATACATGATGACATGATTCGGAAAATATATAAAAATAATTAATATTAACAAAATAACCGAAAAGTATACGAAAATAAGTTAACTAGTTAATGTATTAATAAAACAAAATAACTTAACAAATTATTTTCAAAAGTAATATCAATTCGCTACACTAATATTACTCGATTTTTTGTTTTTTAGTTAAAGTGCATATTAGTTTTTTATATATATATAAACAGAAAATGTAATTTTCTCGTGATGAAAAAGTGTGAAGTAGTATACAATATATATCGACAATGTTGTACAACAACAACAAAAAACAAGAAAACCCATAGGATGAATCGAATATTCATTATAGTAAATCCCAACCCAAATCAAACAAAACATATCACAAGTACAGTATATTCAACCTATATAATTCATACGTATATATTCTACTCTTCATACACGGTCACATATGAATGGGCCGCC